AGAAGGCATTCCTGTTGGGACCACCTCCGGCGCTTGGACACTGGCCTTACACTAGGGAGGAAGAGTCCTCTGATGAGGCCTCCGGCCAGTGAGGCTAGGAGACTGCGGCTGAGTGCAGAGTCCAGGCAGTGGGGGTAGCCTCGAATTCAAGCTCAGTGGAGAAGCCCAGGTCAGACAGACCACGGGGCCCAATCTGGAGAGAGCAGCAAGCGGATCCCCAATTCTTGCAGGACATCAAGAAGCCCCATCCTGCCCTCTTCTGGACAGCACTGTCCGGTGGCAAAGCTCAGACCCCTCCCCAAGCACCCTGCTGCAGGACCCTGCTGGATCGCCGCTGCCCCTCCAAAAGGACCAGTCCAGCCAAGAGGAGTGAGCCAGCCACGCATTATTCCTGACACCTCTGTCATCCCTGGTGCCTGGAGCTGGACCTGACCCCTAGTGACCCATCAACGACAGAAACAGCACAGCCTGGTCCTGGACCGTCCTCACAGGCACCGCTATGCTGACCCCTCTACCAGCAGCCACTGCTCAGTCCATCTTGAGGGGCCCCCTCTTTTCCACCAATCCTCTGCTAGTCCAAGCCTGACATCTTTCTCCAGGCCCTGACCTCTCCTGGGGACAGCTCCAGGTTCCTGAGACAAAGTCCTGCCATCCTTCCTGGTAAGGAGCCCTCAGCTTGCTCTTCTCCCAAGGCAGACTCGCCGGTCCTCGGGCAGTCCACGTTCCACTCAACATTCTCCAACACCACAGTTCAAAGACATCCACCCTTCGGTGGTCTCCCCTATTCACTGTCCAGCTTTGACACACAGTGGGGAAAACCTGGACTGAATCAGGAGAACCGGAGTCCTCAAAACGGCATCTCTGGTTTTGGACATTTTAAAGAGAACTTAACTATAAAGGAGGCCTGGTGTCCTATCACATGACGTGCCAGGATGTTAAATAAAAGATCAGCGGTTCAAACCCACCAGCCGCCTGTGGGAGAGAGATGGACGGTATCTACATGGAAGATTTACAGCCTCAGAAACTGGTGGACAGAATCCATGATTCCGAATGAAAGTGATGGCAGAAATATTTTTGTTTGGCTTTTTTTGGGTTATTTTTCTTATCTGTAAGTTCTCTTATCATCTGTCACCAGTTATCACTGTGTTGACCCCTCATGGAGGCCCTGTGACAGAAAAACCAAGTGCTACAAGGATTTCAATGGCTTGTTTTTCAGCAGATCACCAGGCCTTTCCTCTGAGGCACCTCTGGGTGGACTAGAACAGCTAGCCTTTCCAATAACAATCTTGTACTTACCTGTTTACACCCCCCCCCACCCCAGGGATTCAGAAAAAAAAAATGGAAGAAAGATCTTAAGATTTCTGCTTCTGAGTGGCTCCTGACCTAAACGTCTCTGTGAAGGACACTGGTGCTCTCTCTGCCCCTCTCTCTCTTGCACGAGCCAGGAGCAGGCACCACCCAGGACCCAACTGGATCCATGGTCCTAGGGAGTCTGTGGGAGAAATACCCTCTGCAACAGAACCCAAACTACCCCAAACTATCAAGCCCCACCAGCCCTTCCAAAGGTCCACAGGGGCCTAGCGTGGAGCTATAATCGGCACCCACTTCCTTGACCTTGTGCTAATTCTCAATTCTCACGCCACAGAGTGTATCTTCCAAAAAAGAAAAACCTAAAATCAAAATGCGAAAGCGTGCACCATTGTAGTGTTACTGTCACCGTAACCTGATATGGAAGTGCTGAAAAGCCTCAGAGAACATTCTAGGCTGAAATCTTGATGGGAGCAAATACCCAAGGTTTTGCTCTGGTGGAGATGCTGGGTGGATTCGAACCACTGACCTTTTTGTTGACAGCAGAGAACTTAATCACTTTGCCTCCAGAATGCCTTGTTTTTATAACTACCTCTCAATTCTAAAATCAATAGGCTTTAAGTGATTTCTAGAAAAGATAGGATTCTCAATTTAATAAACCTAAAAAGTCAAGGTCAGATCCCTTGAGGGCAGTAAAAGAAACCAGAAAGTGGGGCTCCCTTCCTATTAACAGCTTCTCCTCAGCCCAGAGAGGCTGAGGTAAGACAGAGCAGAGTAGCTTGAAGTGAAATGTCAGCTTCCTAATGTGGGCATAAGGCCACACGCCACAAGTCACATTTTTTGCTGGACTCTAATTCTAACTGAGGAGGGTGTGGAAGGCTCCCTGCCTTCACTGACCACTGCCTCCTGTGCCACAGGAACTGACGACCTGGCTGGCAGAGGCTGCCACGACTGAGCACGCTGGTGAAAGACATCACAGAAGAACTCGGATCAAGTGTGAGGAGGGGATAAACGCAGCACAGAACTTCAAATCTTCACGGACCCTAGACACTGTGGAACCCTGCTGGAAGAACGGAATAATCTTAAACTTAGACCAAGAGATGACACAACCCTGCTTGCCGAAACTGAGGAGGACCTGAAGCACTTGCTGCAGAAGGACTGCAGCCTTCAATATGGATTGAAGCTCAACATCAAGAAAACAAAGTTTCTCACCACTGGGCCGATTGACAGCATCATGATAGATGGTGAAGAGACTGAGATTGTTGACAGTTTCAGTTTGCCTGTCTCCACACTCAACACTCTTGGTACCAGCAGCCAGGAAATTAAAAAACTAACTGCATGGGAAAGTCTGCTGTCAGAGACCTCTCCAAGGTGCTGAGGAGCAACGATGTCAGTCTGGAGACTAAGGTGCACCTGATACAGGCCATAGTCTTTGCAGTCACTTGCTACGCATCAGAGAGCCAGACAGTGACTAAGGATGATAGAAGGAGAGTTGATGCCTTTGAGCTGTGGTGCTGGAGAAGAATACTGAATATACCATGGACTGCTAGGAGAACAAACAGATTCATCCTGAAGAGGGTGAAGCCAGGCTGCTCCTTGGAGGCAAGGATTCTGGGGCTTCGTCTGACATACTATGAGCATCCTGTAAGGAGAGACAAGTCCTTGGAGAGGGACGTCATGCTTGGGAGGGTGGAGGGACAGCGCAGGAGAGGGAGACCCTCGATAAGATGGATTGATTCAGTCACTGGGGTAATGGGGATGGGTGTGACTGAGACAACAAGATCGGCAAGTGATAGAGCAGGGTTTAGAGCTGTTGTACATAAGGTTGCTATGAGTCGCAAGCGACTCAACAGCATATAACAACAATAGTAAAAAATTGTCTCTCTTGAGCAGTAAAAAAATTGTCTCTCTTCACCATCCCTCCACCTTTCCAAACATGAAGCCCTCTCCAAGCAACACGCCCAGAGTACGTGAGCTGAAGCTCCATGTTTGCCTCCAGGGAGCCCTCTGGCTGCACCTTCTCCAGGACGTACCTGGCTGATTTTCTGGCAGCCCCAGGCTTAGAAGCAGTATGTTTATGTGCACAGGGAAGGAACCACTTGGAAAGGGGGGCGTGGAGGACTGCAGGACTTGAAGAAAGCAATCGATGTCACTGCATTGAACACGTAGGAACTAGTGAGGTGGTCTATGTTCTGATGTGCATTTAACCAACAGTAGCTGATCAATCCAGCTGAGGCGAGCTGAGCAGTCTGGGCCCCTGCCCTCGGGCTGGTTCTCAGTCAGGGTAACTGGGCTGGAAAGGCCGCAGGTGTCGGCCCTCACCTTGTGCTCACAGGTACAACAGCCCTGCTACCTGGAGGCCTGGCATCTTTCACGGCTGTGACGCTGCACTGGTAGACCAGAAGGAAGGCAGGGTTTAGACAGGAAGTAGAAATACCCGCGAAACACTCCGTCTCTGATCGAGCGAAATGTTTGGCTTTTTCCCTAATACTGGGATCTCCAGATGGTACACAACAAACATACAACCCCATCTGGAGTGGTTGAAAGGTCGGCCGTCACTCCCCACCCAGAACTCACCCACTGGCCCAGGCTTGCGAGCGGCCCCACTGCCCATCCCCCCCTCATTCCGTCAGACACAGAGAGGACACATGGTCCTTCCAGGGCACAAATGGGTCCCCCAACTCGCTGCACCCCAGAGGCTACCCAGAAACCCCACAGCCTCTCACAGACTGAAAGCTGTTTCCGCAGTGTGTGCACACACCTGTCTGTGTACGTGCATGTCTGTGAGTGGGGCTCTCAATGGCCGTCCATCTCGGGTAACACCCACCCTGCCCCTGCTTTCTCATCTGACCAGGCATGTGTGTGTGTGTGCACCTGTGTGTGAATGTGCGAGTCTGTGTGTGCATCAGAGTGTGTGTTTGTGTGTGTGTCCTGTTCACTTGAGACTCAGGGCACAGCTTGTGTGCGCATGTGTACAGCACGTGTGTGCATGTCTGTGTGTGCACAAGTGCATGCGGGGGATGGTTTCTGTGTCTCTCCACTCGAGACCTGAGCTAACATCTTATTTGCCGCTGGTTTCCCTGACTGGCTGTAAATGGTGGTGATGTCTCATCCCCCTGTGAGGTCACACTGTGCCTTTTACTGGAGATTCTCACCACCTAGGCCCCCAGGGTGCCAGGAGTGTATACTCTGTGTGTGTTTCCCTCCAAGTGTGCACCATCCACTCTCCGAGTTGACAGTTTCTCATCTGCCAGGCACTTAGGCAGCCGGGGACAGAGAGGTAAAGAGAATGGTACACAAGAGTGAGAAACAGAGAGAGAAAGACAGAGAGAGAGACACACAGAGAGAGACAGAGAGCGTGCATGCGTGTGTGCGGTCTCAATAAACCAGAACTTTCCAGCTGAAACAACAGCTGCCGCGGGTGTCCCATCTGGCTGGGCTTGGAGGGTGACAGGAGTGTGTTCTGCATGTATAGATGTGTGTGTGTGTGTGTGTGTGTGTGTGTGTGTGTGTGTGTTCAGTGCCCTGTCCACTCTCCAGCTGACATCACAGCTGCTGTGTGTCCTGTCTTCCTGTCTGTCTGCGCATGGAGGGTGACGGGAGTGTGTTCTGCATGTAGAGATACATTTGTACACACATAACATGTGTGTGTACGTCTGTCTGCCTCATCCGCCCTTGGGCTGACACCGTACCTGCCACTGGTTTCCTGTCTGGCTGGGCACGTAGGGTGTCGGGAGGCTCCGCAGACTGTTCTTCACGGGGGAGCCCCCGAGGGGCCCGGGCACGTCGCCGGCGGCGGCAGGGTCAGCGGCCAGGGCCATGGGGTACTGCGGGTAGTTGTAGAGGTTGTTGTAGTAGGGGAACAGCGAGGGCTGGTAGAAGCTGCTGTAGTAGGCCGAGTCGGGCACCAGGTCCGGCGCGCTCTCCACGGGCCCTCTGCTGGCCGCAGCCGGGATGTCCTGGATGGCCATGCGACCCTCTGCAAGAGAACGACAAAGGTCACGGGCTCTGAGTATCCGCTCCACAGAACGCCCCTCCAGCCCAGGCACTGGAACCTCCTGGGACATCTGCGGTCAAAACCAGAGGGGCTTCTCGGGGGGACTTACCTCTGGGGCACAGTGAAGGGAGCTGGCTGGTCATTTTCACAGGGGACACCAGTGACACATCAGAGGGCAATTTTAGCTAGAGGGTCTAACTCCACCCAGGCTGCCGGTCAGCCAGTCAGGTTCTACTCATCCACTGTCGGCAACATTCTTACAACCAAGCTGACCGTCTTTCACTCCCAGTGAGGTTAAACAACAGGCAGCTGACTCCACAGCCAGAGCGGTCAGAAAGTCAAAGCCAGGGTCAGGAGCGTGAGCAAACATTGTATCCTTCACTTCCTTCTCCACTGATACTGCAGCCGAGCTCCAGACAAAGGCACCCTTGGAGGGGACTCGGAGGGCTCGGGGTCGGTTCCAGACCACCCTGATAAAGCAAGGGGCAGTGCGGCCAGTGTCACAAGAGAACAGTCACAGCAAGAAAACCCCCAGGGCGCGTGACAGTCTCCCTACACTTGAACGCAGACTAGGACGCGTGCAATTGCTGGGCGTGCCATCGAGCTGGGCAGGACTCACGGGTGACCCTCCAGGGAGTTGTCAGAGGCAGGAAGTCGTACAGGACACGGGAGGAGAAGGCCCATCTTCACCCCATGGAGCGGATTTGAACTCTGTGACCCCGGTCTGGCAGCCCAACTCCTAATCCACCAGGCCACCAGACCTTACTTAAACCACTGGAAAATGACCAAAATGGAACCCAGGGACACCAAGTGAGCACAGTTAGCAGAAAAGCATCGATGGAGGGTGGTCACAACCTCAGGTTTGGGACAAAGCTGGGACACACAGGAACACGAGGTGTGCTCACACGGAAACCCCAAACTACCACCCTCAAGCCGATATCTCACAGCAACCCTGGGGGCACACTGGGGACTGGCCCCGAAGTTCTCAAGGTGGTCAAGATTTACAGCAACCGACTGCCACCTCCTTCTCTTACAGAGCAACCGGTGGTTTCGAACTGCCACCCTTCAGGTTCATGAGGTGTCTTGCCAGGACTCTCAACTCCTCTGTGTGCTCCAATTATCACACGAAGGAGACTTGCACGTCTCACGGCCACGGCGACCAGGCCAGAGGCCACGGCCACACACTGCAAAGAAAACACCTTAAGGTGTTTGCTAAAAATCCTTCATCTAGCTCTTCTTACACTTGGCCTTCTGAAAAATACTAGTGCAGTTCTTTACCACTACTTAGCGTTGTTGTGTACCGTCAAGTCGGAACTCAGAGCTGACCCTTCAGCAGGATTTCAGAGGCAGTAAATCACACGTGGGCAGAGAGCCTATCTTTCTCCCTCAGAGCAGCTGGGGGATTCGAATCATGTGCCTTCAGGCATGAGAGCACAGACAACCTAGTGAAGTGGCTGCTTTCCAAAGAGGTGGTCCTTTAGAGAGGGACCGTGACGCAGAACTGCTAAGAGGCAAACAGGAAAAAGCTAGAGTCCACGAGCTGGCAGTGCTGTGGCTGCCGGAGCCCCCGGGGGCTGCAAACCTTTCACAAATTAGAAGCTTCAGAGTGGCTTAAAAAAGCAAAATTTGCTTTCTACCAAGATGGCGCCAAAAGCCAAGAAGGAAGCCCCTGCCCCTCCCAAAACTGAAGCCAAAGCAAAGGCATCAAAGGCCAAGAAGGCGTCCTGAAGGGCATCCACAGCCAAAAAAAAAAAAGATCCGCACGTCACCCACGTTCCGGCGGCCTAAGACGCTGAGATTCCCACGGCAGCCCAAATACCCCCGGAAGAGCGTGCCCAGGAGAAACAAGCTTGACCACTATGTCATCATCAAATTTCCCCTGACCACTGAGTCAGCCATGAAGAAGATAGAAGATAACAACACACTTGTGTTCATTGTGGATGTCAAGGCCAACAAGCACCAAACAAAACAAGCTGTAAAGAAGCTCTATGACATTGATGTGGCTAAGGTCAACACTTTGATCAGGCCTGATGGCGAGGAGAAGGCCTATGCTCGACTTGCTCCTGATTATGATGCTTTGGATGTTGCCAACAAAATTGGGATCATCTAAACTGAGTCCAGCGGATTAATTCTAAATATAAATTTTTCTCACAAAAAAAAACCATGCAAAATTCACATTTCCTTTTGTGTCAATTCCGAGCCATGACCACCCAGGTGTGTCAGAGCACAGCTGCTCATCCCAGGCTTTCAAATTAGTTCCTTCCTGCACGGGAAGCCAGGAGTTAGAAGCAATCAATGGCTTCTATCTCCAAAAAACCTAAAAATAAAATTTCTAATGCAAAGGATGATTTTTTTTAAGCAGGCTATCGCCAGGACTTTGTTCTGAGGCACATCAGGGTGGACGTGAGCCTCCCACCTATCAGCTAGTCCTAATTTATTATAAAACAATCAGGATTGGGTTCAGCAGCAAGAAACAGCAGGGGGAGCTGTAGAGTTGGTTCTGATTCACAGGGATCATACAGGACACAATGAACTGTTCCCAGTTTCCAAGGCTGAATCTACCCAAGAGTGGAGTGGATTCGAACCACTGGCCTCTGCATTAGCAGCAAAGAGGTGTGGATAACTTCCCCAATCATTCGCACCAGACCACAGCAGACAGGGTGTTAGAGGTGCAAAAAGCAGCACTTCATTCTCTCTTTTCCAAGCTCATGTCCTCAGCGCTGACGTTTACTTGCTGTCCACAAGCCCTGTTCTTTGGTGGAGTTCACAGTCCCTCTGCTATGTTTCTCCTGCATGGACACTGCTGTCAGGTGCCATCAAATCAAGTCCAAATCACAGCAGCCCCGAGGCAGAGGGTGTGAAGCCCTGTCCCAAGGCCCCTTACAGTCACGGCCACGTCTGAGCCTGTGTCGATCCACCTCGCCGAGGGTCTTCCCCTTCCACTGCCCTCAACGCCACCAGGCGTGATGTCTTTCTCCAGGGATCCTTCCTCTTGGTAACGCTTCCAGAGGAAGGGAGATGAAGTCTCGCCATGCCTGCTTCTAGCGTATGCAGCGTGAAATATGAGTCACTCCTTCGCCAGCGATCGATACCCCCACATGATAAACGCCCTTATTGATTTTGCAGTGCTGCACGCTGGGCTCCGGGCCATGGCATATCCAGAGGAGTTACCCAGTAATTCAATTCGGGGCTGGGAAAGCTTGCCTGCTCCTCCCTCTAGCACCACGATTCCCAGAGCCGCCACACCCTCAGTCCTGGAGCTTTATATCCAAGCGTGGAGACGTATTCCCTCGTCAGTGATGAACCCCAACCCCACGGTGTCACACATGCAGTCAGAAAAAAACCAAACTCACCACCGGCCAGTGGAAGCTGACTCAGGCACTTCCAACTGCTGCCGCCATGGGACCCTGCAGAGCAGAGCTGCCCCGAGGGAGTCCCAGGCTCCCATCTATTTCGGGGAGCAGGCTCCACCCCGTTCTCCAGAGGTGGACGCAGCCAGCAGCCCAAGGTTGATCCATTCCAACACTTGGGCTCCCAGAAGAGTCCAAATGCTGCTCCCACCAAACTGCTGCCCGCTGCCAGGTGCCCTCCATCACATTCCTGAGGCTGTAATCTCAGCAGAAGGCGACTGCTTAGCTCTGACCCAAGGAGCAGCAGTGGATTCAAACCACCGACCTTTCAGTTAGCAGTCCTTACCTTACACCCATGTGACAAAGCACCTTGTAATAAGAACGTTCATGCTCACACACGCACACTTTCCTTGTCACCTCCCACTGCTGGACAAACAGCTCGCGTCCATACGCCTTTCTTGAGCACCTGAAGCGTATGCATGTGGTCAGGAGGGACATCGGACTTGACAAAGCAGAGGATCAGGGGAGGAGAGGAAGACCCTCAATGAGATGACCTGGCACAGTGGCCGGAAGGGGTTACACGCAGCAGGCTGTGAAGATGGTGCCGGCTGAGCAGTGCTGTCTGCTGTGTGGGGGCAGGACTGAACAGTGTCGACCAGCACGGCGTGCAGAGCAAGGAGTGCAGAGCCTCACACGATGAAGGAAATCCGTGAGGTCCTTGGTCCTGCCGACTCCCTAATACAAGGGGGAAGGACAGGCCCCCTGAGGCAGGCCAGGCGAGGCTCCCGGGGGTGCAGATGGTCTGTACTCAGCAGGCCTCAGTCTACACAAAGGCCCTTCAGAAGGCAGGCGTGGGAGCTGCTTCCAGGAAGATGCGAACAAAGAACCTGGAGGGAGCAGTTCCCAGTCAAGGGATGAAGAGTGGGTCACAGTCTGAGAGGCTGTTCAGCTCCCAGGGTGATGCTACATGGCCACTTCTGGTGCCACTTGACCCTGGACC